GTTATAGGTGACTCTTGGGATAGCAAAACGTTAGTATTGACACTGGATTTCTTGGAAACCTTAAATCATTCATCATTCAGTAAATAAAACATTATTTTGTGCAAGGCACTAAGAATAGTGAGCAAAGCAAATATGGTTTTTGATTTCGTGAGGAGAGTTGCGCCATTATGTAACTGGCAAGTTATATAATGAGAAGAAGGTAGTCAGAGAAATCCTTTAGAGGAAGCAGCATGTATGCTCTATTCTAAAAATGGAGTAGGAATTTAGTCATGAAATTAGTAAAAGGGGAAAGCATTTCAGATCAAAAAGGTTATAGAGTGATATCCTTTGGGTATGTCTGTTGCCACCATGGAATTAGAGGAGCTATAATTATCCACACTAAGAATATCACAAGATTGGGCCCAATAATATCTCCTTATGGAAGGAGCAGAGTAATAAATAAAATTCAATACACACACACATACCACACACACAGACACAATTATAAATTTCATGAAAGTAAGCAGACTTACTCTGCTTACTTTCCTCTGCTCAAAACTAGTTCTACTTTTCAGAATAGTGGTGGGCATAGAAGGCATTGAATAATATTTCTAGCAAAAAGTAGAAAGGGGAAGACAAAATCAAGACAATTTTTTTCTGCTATTGGATTGTTAAAGAAAAAATATATAATATCATTGAGTTGACAAGTGCAGGCAATCAAGAAGGCTGCCAGTGGATTTCATGATGAGTGACTTGGCACTAGTAAAGTACAAGCTGGTGGGCATGGTGAATCAAACCTGTGATTAGCATGCCAGAAGACAAGGCAGGGAGATCATGAGCAGTGGGCCAGTGTAGGCAACACAGAGTATGACATTGTCTCAAAAAGCAAGACCCCTCCTCCATGAAAGTACAAAAGTCTGTATTCAAAAAGATCCAATATTACAACCCAAAAGACTTATGAACATGTGAAAGTGAAACTTCTAGACTTAATACCTAATGAATTCCAGACATTTCTGGCAGCATTGCCTGTGTTGTAACATGTGACTTCACCACAGGTGTGCTTCTCAACACATAACATGAGCACTTCACACTGTACATGCCATCAAGCCAAGTAATAACAACAAACTCGACCTAAAATACTTCCGCTCAAAGATAAGACTATCGAATCTTATGGATCTCAGAGTTTCTACTATACAACAAACTTTTCTGCTTTTATAGAAAGAAAATTTAATTATGGAAAACAAAATATTTTTTGATGTTCCTACCATTGTTCCTCGGCATGTATCAAATCACAGATACTAGCATATCTCTGATTGTATGGTATGGTATGGTATGGTATGGTATGGTATGGTATGGTATGGTATGGTATTAGAACTTTTGATATTTTTAATTTCTGAGTTGCTGACTTGAGTTTCATTTTTTAAAAAAATTGTTAGGTGGGTCAGACATGGTGAGTTGCACCTGTAATCCCAACACTTGGGAGGTCAGGGTAGGAGGAGATGAAGAGTTCCAGATCATCCTCAAAAACATAGTTTGAAGCCAACTTGGACAAAAAGAAAAACTAAAATCATCAAATGAATTTTGGTTTGTGGTTAAGACAGAATTCCTAAAATATCTTAAATGACTCCAACCATACCTGTGCTACTGTGTACTACATGCTTTTGCAAATTGGAATTCCTAGTATTGTCAATTATAAAATCAAAATATTGGTCTATTCTGAAAAGCACTGAAGATGCTCTATGCCTTTATCCTCTCTTCTACAATCTGTCTCATTATCCTCTGTCCAGCAGTCTGTCTCATTATCCCCTGGCCTTGATGTCCCTCTGTATCCTTGGCATAGTCAGTCTTTCCATTTCCCACAGTATAGTGTAACTAGGTAATCCATTGATCCACACTTTTGCCTCTTCTTCTCAACAAATTTCCAAATAAATTATCCTGCTGCTATCTCTCTTTCTGGCTTCTTGGCATTTTTTCCTATATTGAGACACTATGCTAAAATATTACCAAAACTAAAATAATATCAAATATATGAGAGTATATATTTTTACTACTTTATATTTGTACATTCTTTCTGCCACAGGCTTTTTTTTTTCTCCAACCTAGAAATGGATCTGCTTATGTTCTGTTTGTGATCAAAGCAGGAATGAGAATGAAGAGCCATCCCAGAAGAGGATATGCCTACAGATAGAGAATTCCTTGTTGTTATAAACAGACTCAACAAAGATTCTCTCAGCGTCCTAAATCCAAAAATGCTGTTGAAAATGACTGGTGATTAAAATGGTGACAGAGGTAAAGAAGACAATAAACGTGAGATGAATGTGACAAAACTTTCAGTAGTAGCTCAGAGAAGAACTCACATTGAGGCGAAGCTCTATAAATGTACCCAACTTCTTTGCATGACCCCTTCTGTCCTGGGCCTTCAATTGCCACTGAGTCTGCACCTTCACCAATAGCCTCTCTTGGCCTCTCTCAGTGCCAAGCCTCAGCTGCTCTCCATAACCCTTTCATGCTTTCAAAACCAGTACCACCTGGGTGACTCTTACACATTACCAAGTCTGGCTTCCAACACAAGGTACAACTGTGACTTCCTCTGGAACACAGTTTCTCTGTGCTCTCTGGAAACACTTCCCAGAAGATTTCTCCTCAGTGAGGCTGGTATCATCTTAATCACTGCTAATTTCTTAGCTCCAGTTAACCAACATCAATTGTCCCAGTAACACAAAGGTTCCACTTTAGTAGCTCTGGTATCTTGTTACTCGCAGCTGATTCTTCAGCATCAACTAGCTAGAACCACAGAATCTTAAATCAAAATAGCAAAGGACCCTGATAGAATTTTTAATCTTCCTTCTGAAATTTCACAAGCCAGGCCCTCATCTTCTGCTCTGCTCCCAACATTCTTATCTTCCAAGCTCCTACAGAACACTGAGGTTTCAACACTCAATGGTTCTTCTAGCCCAAATATCCAGTTCTTCCACATTTCTCCCCCAAACATGGTTATTTCTGTCACAGCAATACCCCATTCAAGGTAACAATTTGTCTTCGGGTTTTATTGCTGTAATGAAACACCATGACCAAAAAGCAAGCTGGAGAGGAAAGAGTTTATTTGGCTTACACTTTCAGATCATAGTCCATCACTGGAGGAAATCAGGACAGGAACTCAAGCAGGCCTGGAACCTGGAAGCAGGAGCTGATGCAGAAGCCATGGAAAAGGCTGCTTACTGTCTTGCTGCCCTGGTTTGCTCAGCCTTCGATCTTATAAGAACCCAGGACTACCATCCATGGATAGCACCACCCACAATGGGCTGGGCCCTCCCCCGTTGATCACCAATTGAGAAAATGCCCTACAGCTGGATCTCATGGAGGCATCTTCTCAACTGAGGCTCCCTCCTCTCTGATGACTCTAATTTATGTCAAGTTGACACATTAAAACCAGCCAGTATATGTAATAAATGTGGAAAAACCTTCATTCAACAATCACATCTTGTTGGACATTATAGAATACACACTGGAGTGAAGTTCTATAAATGTAGAGAGTATCGGAAATATCTCAGTGGGCCCAGAGGTGTTATTCAACATCAGAGAATCCATGTAGCTAAAACCCTATGGATACAGCAAGTGTGGAAGCCTCTGTGGTAAGTTAGGCTCTAACTAGATATCAGAGAATTTTATAGTAAATAACTTCTAGTAAACAGAGAAAAGTACCAAAAATTCTTTAGTGCTCTGGATTAGTCGTCAGATTACCTTAGAGACCACAAATGTCCTTAATGTGAGCAAAATTTTAGTCATCATTTAAAAACTCTAATCAAAGAATAGGAGTCAAATACTCTTTTATTTCTAATTTAGTTGTTTTGAAAGAAGAACAAACTTCAGAAAGCTTTAACCTGTTCTGTTGACTTATCTTTATAATCCCGTTTATAATCACTTGATTTATGCTTATAATCCCAACGCTTGGGATGGTAAGGCAGGAGATTTGCCTTGAGGCCAGCTAGGGCTACAGGGAGACTTGATCTAAACAAACTAAAAAAACAAACAACAACAACAAAAAAAAACCCTATCTATTGTCCACTTGTGACCTAAGCTGGACAATTCCTGGTTGAATATGACTTCTACCTTCTGTTCTAGACTTTGTTTGGCCATTTGTTTATATGGCATTAGGTAAGACATGCAAATGTCCTCTGCCTCATTAACTCTAGATGAGAATAAGATTCACCAGCTCTGTCTTGACAAATTGAAACAGATAAAAAGTTGTCTTTGGCCAGGCAGTGGTGGCACACACCTTTAATCCCAGCACTTGGGAGGCAGAGGCAGGTGGATTTCTGAGTTTGAGGCCAGCCTGGTCTACAGAGTGAGTTCCAAGGACAGCCCAGGCTATCCTGTCTCAAAAAACAACAACAATAACAACAACAACAAAGTTGTCTTTGACATTAAAAAGTAAACCAATGTTCATTATTTTCCACCATTATCCTCTTTAAAATTTAAGTTAGGGGTCTGGTTATTTTGTAGAAGTTTTGTTGTTTCCAAATGTAAGTATCTGGAGGCTGAGAACACCTCACAGTCAAAGACATAGCAGTAGTCAGTAGAAACTTTATAAATATAATACTGTTCCTAGGAACTATAAAGGTTTAAATTCTCCCAATATGCAGTGTACGTTGGAAATTTGGAGTAATTCATGAAGCATTAACCGGAAAGCACAGGATTATCTAAGAACAAAGAGAAATCCGTTAGGTATACTCCTGAGCCTAGCCCAGGCCTCTGGGTCTGCGATCAGCCACCCAACTCATCCTTGTCACCTGAAGCCCGAGGCTGGACAGACAAAAGCTTAGGTGACTTGAAGCTATGTCATCCCTCAGGATGTCCGGCATAGGCCTCCACCTGGTGTAGCTGACCACGTTCAGTTCCTTCGCCGACCTACCATAGAGCTGTCAGACCTCCGAGCTTCCTAGAGAGCTTCCGGAAGTGGCTGTGGGGCAAGATGCGTGCTGGCCGGCTCTGCGGCTCCGAGGGTTTGGAACTTAGCGGCTGGAGGGGTCCCGCTCGGGTTCGGTGTCCGTCGCGTCTCCTCGCGCGCTTCCCGGTCCGCACTGTGCCGCCTCCCGCTCTCGGGCAGCGTGGGGAGCTCTCGGTGAGTGCGCTGGGCCGAGCAGGGCCACGCGGGCAGCGGAGGCCCGAGCGCGGGGAGCGGGTCGGCCCAGGGCCTGCCGCAGCTGAGCAGGCCAACACCGGGCCCCAGCTACCCACGGGATGGCTCTCTTCACCGCCAGTCATCATGTGTAATTTTGCACTCGCTCTTACTTGTAAAGCCGGCCCGTGTACCATTTCTACTCAGCAGTTTTGCCGATCGGTCTCAAAATTCATTTTTTAAAGATAATATATTTTTTTCTTTTGAAGCCTCTGCCCCACGTGGAAACCTTTGATTTTTGTTACTCTTTTTTTTTTAAACCCATAAAGAAGTGTATTCAAAAAATGGTTGACGTAATGGCTGAACAGTTGTGTGCAAAAGAAATACTCTCAGTAATTTCGGGGTAACAAAATTAAACCTTATTCAGAATACTTTGCTTACCTAATTTATTGAAGCTAACTGAAATAGTTGCATGAAAACTCGGTGGGTTCCCATTTCCAAAATTCAGGTCATTCATGAGTGATCTCTGTTAGATTTCTAAGACATTGACCACCACCTGACAACATCTTTCTATTTGACAAATTCACTGAAGTATTGTTATGCAGCAATCATTATTTTAGTGAATATGCACGTTTTGAGTTCCTTAGTTAAATATAAAAATGTAAATCTTTAAAGCATTCATCAAAGCAACTTCCTTAAGCCCATACCCACGCTTGTGTGTCTGGCCCTCTCCTGAGTACCTTTTCTCTTAACCCTCATGCTTACTAAATTAACTTTTAAAGTCTCCAAAACGAGAAAAAAAAATGAATGAATGCCATTTCAGATAACTACAAAGCATGTTTGCTTCATCTACTTTTCCTTAATCTCTTAAAACCTGGAGATTATCATTCCTGGTTTATATTCAGTTCTCAGACATTTCTCAAGTTAATTAATCTGAAAGAAACGTACATCTCCTACATCTATTGAAAAGCCAGTATTGTTTAAGTTGAGTTGTGCCTTTCTTAGTTGTCAAAGCTTTAACATTTTCGATCCTGAAGAAACCTAGGATTGTTGCCTTTTCGTTGATAAGACAGTCATCCTGACTGGATGTTCTTTAAGGATGCTATGTAAGGATCAGCATTTATCTGTAGGTACTTTGCAACACTACAGAGTGTACCCACGAGATTATTAGAGGGGAGAAGGAAAGGCCATGTATGTTGGTGCATGCAGTTCTAAGGTTGGGAAATCACCAGTTTGAAAACAGTCTTAGAGAATATTGTTTTCTTTGAGGGAGATGGGTAAGGTCCACTCATGCCGCAGTACCCTAGTGGAGGTCAGAGGACAATTGTAGAATCAGTCTTCTCCTTCCTCTGTGTGGGTCCTGGGAAAGTAAACTCATGTTGTCAGGCTTGGCAGCAGGTGCCGTTACCTCCTGAACTGTCTCGAAGACCCCTGTGTCTTTTTAACAGTACATCAGTCATACTGGATTGAGGACCCATCGTATTCCAGTTATAACTTAATGTTAATTTTATATATATATCTACTGTCTGCAGATAAAATTACATTTATAGGTACTACCTAAGGCATCTTTTTTGAAGACAGTTAGTAGCATTATGACACATGAATGAAGAGAAGCATAACCAAAGTCAAGGAGAAGTCACCACTACAGCCTTAGCAAGGGATATATACACAAGAATAGAGAGAAACCATTAGTGTACATATTCCCCACAAAGAAACAAGGCCATCAAAGTGAGCTTTTTGGACCTGAAGTTCTAGCTGTAGCCTCCACTCTTAAATCTAGACATGTTCTATGTTGTATTAGACTATAGTCCTCTAATGTTCTTTAATTCTATCAATAAGATAAAGTTTTGAAGAGTATGAAATTAAGAAACCAAAACTTTTTTGCAACCATTAATGTACCATTATGAGAAAAGTAGTATCTGTAGAGAGTAAGGAAAATAGTTTGGTCAATAATGAAAGTAGTCCAAGAAGACTTAAAAGAGATATTGACATTCATGGACTGGAAAATCCTTGTTAAGGTATCATTCCTAATGTGATATCAATAGTGTTGAGATAGTATTTCTAAACTGAGCTATAGATGCAACACAAGTTCAATTCCAGCATTATTGGGAACCAATAAGCTTGTTCTAATATATGTATCAAAAAGCAACAACCAGCAAAGCTAAAACAGCTTTAAAAACAGAAAAATTTTAGGATAAGAACTTGATTTTAACATTTGAAAATTAGTATCAAGAGAAGGTAGATATATAGGTCACGGTAACAGAAGAGACCCCAGAAATAGTTTGTGGTCAGTCAGACTACCTTGTGCTCATATTCTCATATTCTCTCTCTCTCTCTCTCTCTCTCTCTCTCTCTCTCTCTCTCTCTCTAAGGCAAGTGATCCCGTGTGTAATCCTTTCTGTGAACGGTGCTACAGCAGACTGTTATGTGTGTCATGTGTAAGTAAGGAGGGAGACCTCCAGCCACACCCTCACCTCTGCAAAGATTAATTAAAAATAGATCATAGACTTAAAAGTACAACCTGAAACTACAAACTTAGACTTGATATCAAAAGTACAATCGTTTAAAAATTTGATAAATTATGCTTCAAAAGATTATAAATATCATGTTTAAAGGTTGCTGTTAAAAGAATAGAAGAGAGTCAGTATTTGTAAATCATGTATCTCATAAAGGACCTGTATCCAGAATATATAAGAGTTCTCAGATCTTACACATACAAACAATATAAAACCTCAATTACAAAATAATCCTGGACAAAGCATGGGATTGCATGGAATTCCAGTACTTGAGAGGCAATAGTATCACCAGTTAAAAATCATCCTGGCTACTTGATAAGACCCTATCTCAGCAGCCTAAACAAGTTAAATAAGCATAAACCTGGTACTTGCCTGTGGTCTTAGTATTTAGGAAGCTAAGGTGTGAGAATCACAAGTTTGACACTATCTTTGGTTATAGAATGTGACTTTGCCAAAAAACAAAAGCAAAGTGGACCATGATCTTTAAATAGGTACTTCACCAATATATGTGTAATACTGTTAGTAAAGAAGTCAAAATCATGACGTTACTATAAACCTATTATAATGTTTAGTTTTTAATACAATGTCAAGTGCTACTGGAATGCAAAATATTGTAGCCATTTTAGAAACAATTCAGCAATTTTTTAGATACTACATTAAGACTTATCAATTTACTTCTTACTTCCAAGTTTTACTTCACTGAATTAAAAACTCCTTATACAAGATCATGTATGCATGTGATTTCAGTGGTTTTATTCTTAATTACAAACAGGAAAAAACTCACCTGGTGAAAGTGTAGATGGATAGACATTTGTATGGGAATAAACAGATACAATATTGGTTAACGTCAGGTTCCTTCTGCTAAGTGAAGGCTGTCAACTCAAACACTACAGTATTTTATTTCTGTAACATTCTGGAAGGTCATTGGTGTATGGGTTTAGGTTTGTAGATGTTTATAAGACATTCTGTTCTTTGCAGATACACTGCTCCAAATAGATTTTTAGAAGTAAGAGATGAAGCCCAAGAGATAACCCTGAGACAGGAGGGAAAATAGGAAGCCTAAGTAGGGTCGCGAATCTTAGGTAGTGAAGAGGAAAGGGTTAAAGGGCTTGTAAACTAGAACAAAGTTAAGAGCTAAAGTACAGGAAATGGCAGGTGTGCAAGGTGCCACAAGGAGTTCAGTGAGTGCTGCTGAAGAGTACCTGAGAATTAAACAGAATTTTATAGGCTGAGTCTCCATGGTCTCCATCCTCCACAACCCTAAACAGAAAGCAAAAGGAAGGGTTTGTACCCTGGGTAAGTTTGGGCTGGCAGATGATTTAGGGCACTCATTAAGATATCAGTTACTATGATTGTTGCCTGACCTTAACATATTTATCATTTTCTGTTCTGGAAGAAGTACCCTGGAGGTCCTTGGAAGACTTTTAAGAAGATACTGAGCTTTTCTGGCCCTAAATGGCTACAGAATCAAGAAAGCTTTCTTCAGCCCCATCTCCACCAGACCAGGCTCCTGAAGAGGACCTTGTCATTGTCAAGATAGAGGAGGATCACGGCTGGGATGAGGAATCTAGTGTGCATGAAAATAACACACCTGGCCAAGAACTGTTTCGCCTACGCTTCAGACAGCTTTGCTACCAGGAGACATTAGGACCTCGGGAAGCTCTGATCCAGCTTCGTGCATTTTGCCATCAATGGCTGCGGCCAGACTTGAATAGTAAAGAACAGATCCTGGAGCTGCTGGTGCTGGAGCAGTTCCTGACCATCCTGCCTGAGGAACTGCAGGCTCTGGTTAAGGAGCACCAGTTAGAGAATGGAGAGGAGGTAGTGACCCTGTTGGAGGACCTGGAAAGGCAGATTAATGTCCTAGGGCAACCAGTAAGTAGTTGTGCATGCCGTGACTGAATTCCTGGGAGCTTGGTAGAAAGACATTGGCTTCACTTTGAGGAACAAATTCTGTTCACTGGTTTCTCGTAAATGCAGATAGAAATTATTTTAATTTATTTTAAAGGATAGAATCCTTTTTTGTAAAGGATAGAATTCATTTTCATCCTCATAAGATCCCCACAGTTATATTATTGTCCTTGCTTGCTAAATGGGACCATAATACACAAGGAGCTTATATTACTTTTTTTCTGGGGTACCCATAATACCCAGGGTTTGGGCCAGATGTTTCTACATCTTTGGCCTCTTGTTTAAGGAATTGAAATAAAGACCCACACAAATTGTACAGACAGCAAGGAAGCATTATTCAATGGCAGAACAATAGTACAAAGCAAGAAATACAGTCAAGAGTCTTAGGCCACTCAAGTGAGACTATTCAAGTACTCAAGAGCCCCAATTATTTGGGACTTCTTCTGAGGTTCGAGAGAAAAGGAAGTTTGTTTGCTAACAGGCATGGGTGAGGATGGTTCTTTGTTTTCTTGGAGGATACAATTTGCCTTATTGGCTCATGTACCCAAAATCAGTCTAGGCCTGCCCTCCCCCACACTCACACACACGTTCCTTACCCAAAAGTAACTGGAATATGATTGGGTACAAGCTGTCTACATGTCATGGTTGTTAGGGGGAGGAGAAATTTATTCTATTGTGCAGCGTAGGGGGTAGATACAGCTCAATGCAGATAAGGTCCTAGATCACTAACTAGGTGCATTGTGCAGAGAGCAAGGGATGGGGGCAGTTCTTAATACCAAACAAGTGAAGTAAAGCCCAGCTTGCTAAACTGTTTTGTATGTTTGCTTGCCTTGCCTAGATAATTAAAGATGACTACTTCCTAGAATATAAGCTTCCTAGTTCCTTATCAGAAGACTATTTTGCTATTGTGTGACCCTATTTTAGTGTTCTGGGTTATTCATCCTAAGTTGGAGTTCTGTATCCTAATATTGGTATTTGATATAGTAGAGAAACATCAACAGAAATTTTTTTCTTTAGTACTGAATAGAAACAAATGCCGTCTTTCTGTGCTAGTTTCTTGCTGCCCTAGGAAGTAAATGATATTATACTGCTTGCTTTCCCAAATATCAACACCAATGAAAGGCATTGACTCCACTACCACCTTCACTTCATTTCTCAAAGGAACTCTGTGTAACTCTGCTGTCCCATTGTTTCTAGGTCTCAACTCGTACACATGGGCACAGAGTACTCTGGGATGAAGTCATACCTTCAAAATCTGCATCAGAACCTCCAAGTATTCACATCCAGCCCTTGGCCACCATGCCTAAATCTCCAGGGCTCCAGAAGCCACAGGACAGAAGAGAGAGGCCAGATTTCACTTATAAAGGTGAGGAAAGAGACTTGTATTTGGGTACCTGTCTCATTCAGGAACTAGCATCAGTGTTTGAGTAGTCCCAGTCTTCTGGGTTTGAATGTTTATAGAAGTAATACATGAACTTTCCCTATGCAGATAAATAGCTGTGGACCCCTACTGGGGCACAAAGAACACACCAAAGAAACAATCTATTGAAAACTAACTTATGAACCAATGAGTTTAATTAGGGGTAAGGTGAAGGCTTTTTTGTTGTTGTTGTTGTTTTATAGGAACGTGGGTAGCTTATCATCAGCTACATCACTAAAGAAATCTCTTAGCACCAGTTACATACCTACATGGGAATGGGGAAGGAGGCTTGTGAACCTTCCCCACTCTGTAGCAGGTCTTAGGTAGATAGCCACAGCAGCTGAGAGTTCAGAAGGACAGTGGCCATGTCATGCCTAGAGGACAGCAATAGACCATCAGTTCTAGGGGTAAACTTAGGAACAAAGAACTTAAGGGTTTGGTTTTTTTTTTTTTTAATAAATTCACACATTTGTTACCCCATTTACAGCAGACTTTATCTTTTTTTTTTTTAGATCTTTCTAGTATCATAGCATATTTACAAATACTTCAGTACTTTTTTTAATGAGAGAATGTTTGATAACTACAATAAGAAGACAGTTAGAAATGGTGGTGCTGACCTAATGCACAGTTCATAGTCACCTTTTGCCAGTTGTCCCAGGGTTTTTTCTGGTCCAGAGCCCACCCTATGACGGTAGTGCAGCCAGTCATAAATTCTTCAGCATCCTTTAATTTGGCATTTTGTGCATTATTTCTTAGTCTTTTTTTTTTTAATGACCTTAACAGTTTTAAAGAACATAGATTAGAATTAGTAGAATGGCTACAAATTAGGTTTGTTTGAACTTTTCTCATATTTAGGTTCCAGTTGGATATATTTAGCAAGAGCACTAAAGAAATTTGGCCTATTGTAATGTTATTTTTGATGACTTACAATTAATCTTGCTAGGTTAATCACTATAAAGTTACTGTTCTTCCCTTTATAATTAAGTAATTTAGGAGGAAGTTCTCATGAAGCTTTGTAAATATCTTAAACTTTATCAAACTTGTTGCTAAAAGAGTAATTTTAATAGTTATTGATGTTTCCTTTTTGCTTTATTTTATTAAAGCTTCTCAACTGAGTCAGGGATTATTACTAAACCAGTTGCAAGTGGTTCTTTCTCAATCATTCCTTCTACGTTGTTGCATTGTTCATCTCAAGAGAGAACGTTTACTTCTTTCCCTTCTAGTTTACCCATTGGTACATATGTGGAGATTAGAAGTCATATTGCGTATATTCTGTTTCCTCCCGCCTTACTTTTATTACTATTAGTGTGTGGGCACAGACATGCACCTGCCTGGAGGGCAGAGGACAACTTTCTTCAAGAGTCAGGTCTTTCAATCCACTACGGATTCCAGAAATTGAACTTGAGCTGTTGGACTTATATGGAAAGCACCTTTGCCCCCAATGCTCTCTCTGGCCCCTCTACCTTATTTTTTGAGTTGGGATCTTTCCCTGAATAAGTATGTCCATTTCTGCTAGATTATCTGATCTCCAGGCCCCCAGGATCTGCCTGTTTCTCTTCTCTTTCAACTCACAATGTTGGGGCTTCAAACATAGGGCTTTTATGTGGGTGATGGGATTTTGAACTTACGTCCTCGTACATGCACAGCAAGCACTTTACCACTGAGCCATCATGCCAGCCCTAAGTGTGTGTAGAGGGCAGGGTCTGTGTTGTTTGGGTAGTGCTAAGTATCTTAACTCAGGGTGTTACTCACCCAAGGGTAGCACTCTTCTAACTCAGCTATGACCTCAACCCTTCCATTTTATTGCCGTTGTTTACTTATGGGCATATAAATTCTTTGTTTTCAGAACCGTTGTGTTCACTGTGCTTACTTCATGTTTGGCCAGAAGAAGGCTTAAGTCTGTCTGTTTTGGCATTTTCCTGTTATTTTTTAGATCTGCCTTATTTTTGGCAGAATAGCATATTCTAGGCTATTTGTCTTTGTTTGGTTTGAGGGTTTTTGTTTTGTTTTGTTTTGTTTTTCCATTTATGGGACTTATAATACCTTGTTTTATGTAAATGAAATTATTTTTTGTATTTTGAAGCAGGTCTGTGTAGTCTTCTTTGGCTAAGAACTCACTTTGTAGATCAGCCTGCCCTCAGATTTGTGGTGGTCCTGCCTATACCATAAGGGCTATAGGCATTTTATATATTTATATATATATATGTAGGCATTTGCCACCCTACCAGCATATCAATAAACTTGTAATATCCCTACACTGATCTTAGTCAAAAGGCTAAGACCTTTTAATATTTCTAACAAAGCAGCATAGAAATGCTTTAGTTAATTACATAATTCTTGTCTGAAGTCATAAATCTTGTTGCCCAAGACATACGTTGCTTAACTATAAGGTTGATTTTGCTAATAAAATGCTCAGTATCCATGAGAAGCAGACATGAACAGCCATAGCAGAGATCAACAAGGTAACAGACTTACTAGAGATTGGTTGGTTCTCATGTTCAGTTTCTATGATACTGGGATCAAAAGGAGCATTGTACATAAAGACAAAGATAATACTTTTGGTAGAGAAGAAATTAGAGAGCAGCTCTCATTAGGCAATCAGTATACTTAATTTATTTGACTGTCTAAATTCAGGTACATTAAAGTACAGATGTTCTATGAGCATTCATAGATATGGGCCACAGTCCAAATGTCAGCACTTTATGTGCAAAATCCTTAGCATATATATGCTGAAATAAAATAATTTTGGATAAGTGAATGCCAGCTCCCACAAGCATGCAACGAAACTAGTCAATTCATAGTTCCTTTCTCCTCTCAGCCATGTCTTCTTCTCAGAAACCTACTCCTTCCCAGAAAGGAAGTTCTGGAGATCAGGAGGTGACAGCTAGACTTCTCACTGCAGGGTTCCAGGTGAGTTGTCCTCCTTCTCACTAAAAGCCCATATCTCTGTTTGACAATATCTCGGCAAATGCCCGTCTCTATCTGCAGTGGTGCCTGTTTAAGAACTTTACCTGAATCTGTTTTGCTTAGTAACAAACCAATCTTTGATCTCCCCCCCCACCCCAGTAAAGCTAGTGCACTTTCCTTTTCTTCCCAACTATTCACACCCTTTTGCATAGCACATTCCTGCTTCTTCACCTCTCCTAACACTATAGTTATCTTCAACACTGATTTTGAGCCCTTTCTAGGGTCCTTTCTAGGCCCCAAATGAGGGTCTCATTTTGTTTCAGACTTTGGAAAAGATCGAAGACATGGCTGTGTCTCTTATTCGAGAAGAGTGGCTTCTTGATCCATCACAGAAGGATCTGAGTAGAGATAACAGGCCTGAGAAATACAGAAACATGTTCTCCCTGGGTAAGGAGAGCTGTAGTTATTATAATATAAGAATTTTCTCTTTGTTTATTGTGTTTCTAGTAGCTTTATAAGATTTCTTGAGGACTTAGTGGGACTTAAACTTAGAATTTGGGTATGTAGAGATGGCTCAATGGTTAAGAGTGCTTTCTGCTCTTCCAGAGGACTGGAGTTCTGTTCCCAGCATCCACATCAAGTACCTCATAGCCACCAGTAACTCCAACTCTAGGGAATACAGTGCCTTCTGGCCTCTGCAGACACCCAACACATGCGACACACATAGTCATAAGCTTGCTTCAAAGTTTTTCTAATAAATCTTAAGGAAAAGAAACTTAGAAATCAACAGATGGATGTTAGGTTGAGACTTCTTGGGGTCTAAAATGAAACATTTTGTTCTCTAATTCCTTACAGTTTATACCTGTATAGTGAGTATTGTTCATTTTGCCAGTTAAGAAATTGATGCCGCTGTAGTACTCCCTGAGTTCCCACCTTTCTTCCAGTTCCCGTTGGACCATGATACTGGAGCATTTCTGTCACATGAGCCAGTGGTACTTCCAGCCCTCTCAGAACCATTTGATACGTTCTCACCCACTCAATAGCTCTTGTAGGAGTTCTTTATCTCTTTCTATTCCCCAACTTATACTCCTCAGTTGATCCCTTTCCAGCTTTACTCACCTATCAGGAAACCCCTTTGTCCTGGCACCTCTTTCCTAGTTGGAGTTTGTTTAGTACCTCTGTTTGATCAACCCACATATATCTCTCCCTATTTTGAATAGAGAAGTTTGAATTTCCTTGTAACTCCAATGAGAACTTCATTTCCCCCTTTCTTCTAATATAAAAAATAGAAAGTGACTTTCAGAATGATCATTTATCATATGTTTGTTTCAGATGGTGAGACCAGGAGTGAGAACAAGGAATTATTTTCAAAACAGGTAATATCTCCCGGAATCCAGCCACATGGAGAAGCAACTGCCAAGTGCAACGGGGATGTTATCATGGGTCTTGCGCATGGAGAAACCCAAGACCTTCTGGGCAAATTAGAGAGGCAGCAGGGAAATCCCACACAAGAGAGACGACATAAATGTGATGAATGTGGGAAAAGCTTTGCTCAGAACTCAGGCCTTGTTCGCCACTGGAGAATACACACTGGAGAGAAACCCTATCAGTGTAATGTGTGCAGTAAAGCCTTCAGTTACAGGTCAGCCCTCCTTTCCCATCAGGATATCCACAACAAAGTGAAGCGCTATCACTGCAAGGAATGTGGTAAGGCCTTCAGTCAGAACACAGGCTTGATCCTGCACCAGAGAATCCACACTGGGGAGAAGCCCTATCAATGTAATCAGTGCGGGAAGGCCTTTAGTCAGAGTGCAGGCCTTATTTTGCACCAGAGAATCCACAGTGGGGAGAGACCATATGAATGTAATGAATGTGGAAAAGCGTTCAGTCATAGTTCACACCTCATTGGACATCAGAGAATTCACACTGGGGAGAAACCCTATGAGTGTGATGAGTGTGGGAAAACCTTCAGACGGAGCTCACATCTTATTGGCCATCAAAGAAGCCACACTGGGGAGAAACCCTACAAATGCAATGAGTGTGGGAGGGCCTTCAGTCAGAAGTCGGGCCTTATTGAGCATCAGAGAATACATACTGGAGAAAGACCCTATAAGTGTAAAGAATGTGGGAAAGCTTTCAATGGGAACACTGGTCTCATTCAGCATCTGAGAATACATACAGGGGAGAAGCCCTATCAGTGCAACAAATGTGGGAAAGCCTTTATTCAGAGATCAAGTCTCATTCGACATCAGAGAATCCACAGTGCAGAAAAGCCTGAAACCACAGGAGTTTAGGGGAAGCTTTGGTTGTAGTTTGAACATTATTTGGCATTAGAGAAACCATGTAATAGTGGAAAAGGCTGGTGAAAAAGGGCAGAAACTGTAGCTGTAACAAAGCTAAGAATAGCACTTGGCTAGTTTGGGCCCAATCCCTGCTATGAGTTGATTAGTTTGACTGCCTTTAGGGACATCTGATGACGCAGAGCCTTAGCAGCTCAGTATATTCTTCAGAATAGCAGCAAATTGCTTATTGTGACTTGAAACACTATATTTTGTCTTTCCTATGAGTAGCTCTAAGTTTGAGAGAGGCTACTCCTCCAAGCTTTTCTGTTCTTCCCATTTCCTGTGGTCCCTTTTTGTCAATAAATCCTAATCTGAGAAGCTGCTTGAGTCCAAGGCAACCTCAATAAGACTAAGATTTGTGTTTGGCTTTTTAATATCCTAGTTAGAAATTGTAAGACATTTAAATTTTTATTCTAATACTCCTAGATGATAGATATCCATATTCCTCCACAAACTCAATGCTATATTTTTAACAGCACTGTAGCATTTTTCTTCATTTAGAACCTTTACTGACTCCATTGAGTCCCTGAGCATCTGTACATATTCTTCCACCCCCAGTCTCAGTACCTGTGTCAACAAAGGAAGTGGACGCATTAGTGATGATGGTGGGCGTGATGGAAAGAAAGGTGAGTGGAGACTCAGCCTGGCTATTCTTGAGCATGGACAGTTATTTCTCAAGGTGTCTTCTGACTCTCCTTCCACCTCCCCACTATACACTGTGGTTTGAAAAATATTTGCACTAGCAAAGCTTGGGCACCACATGAAAGACAGAGGTGCTTGAAAAAGACATTACAAATCCTTACAAAGAATGTACATCATCCCTCTTGGCCCTTTACAGTTCTACTCTCAGGTTCCTATCAGTCTATATAAACTCACTGACTACACGCTCTGCCTGGACCGACCTTCTCAGATGGCCACAGCAGATCCATCATTATCTTCCATCTGTTTCCTTCCATTTGCATAGCTCCAGTATCCACCATGGTAATCTGTCAAATACCTCACTCCGACTGCTCATCCTTCTGCATTCTGGTCCACTCCATCAGTCATCTAAAGCAAAGATACACTATCACACTCATTGTCATCAGGCACTGTGCTTCACCTCTGAGGCTTTCAGCATAACATAGAATACGGTATGTGTAAGTGATGAGACTGGTTTTAAAGGAGCACACAGATCTTGTGCATCTAAAGTGTAGTGTCTTTTCAATTGAGTAATTACACTTACTACCTAATAAATACTTGTTAAAATGTATATTCTAAAGTACTATGATTCTAGTAGTGCTATTAGTCCTCCAAATACTGGGAACAGTCTTAGAATTCTCATGTAATGAGGAACAAGAAAACCATCTGTTACTATCAATTATTTCATGTTTGACCATTAACAGTGGTCTTGGAGTTGAACAACTTTTGCTTTGCAACAATAATCCTCACACTTAAAATTATTCCATTAATCTTACTCAGAAGGAGTTTCTGATGGAATCTCTGAAAAAAAATAATTTCACACCATGACTGTCTTGAAAAGGATCATCTTAGTTTCTTTGGTTAACTTTCTCAGAACAGACCTCTCTATTATTTGTTATTTTCTTATCCTCTGTTCTGTTTGTTTCATTCCTGTTTAATACAGATTACCATTCCTGACTCCTCTCTAGCACTCCTCACCACTGAGCCATCTCTCCAGCCTCAATAACATTTTAAGGCAAGGTTGCAAGCATTTAAGAAACCAGAAGCAGGTAAATCTGCCCATGTCAAGACCCTTGCTTCCTGCTTGAGTTGTGCCTTACCCTCTATACGTCAGGGTTTCTGCATAGGTCAGTTCTATGTTGTTACGTAGGATGAGTACGTTTTCAGAGCATGTGTGCATATATATGCATGCCCACTCCTTTCATAGACTTTTGTGAAGTACTTACCTTGATTTCTAATAAAATTGCCCTTTTTGCATTTGTACCCAGAGTAATATATACCAGATACTTCAGTCTCAGAATTACTAAGTATCTGGAGGAAGTCGAGAGAAAAGAAAGTATACTTGGGAAGATTAATGTTATCTGGGGTGAATGTGAGAAAGGATGGTCATTTAAAACCTAGTTATTGGAGCCATTATGGAGAGGCACACTTTTAATCATAGCACTCAGAAAGCAGAGGCAGATGAGCCACCCTGGACTGCATAGCAAGCCAGCCTTGAATATAGTGAGACCAGTCTCAAAAGGAAAAAGAAAAGAAAAAGTAAGTGAGGCTGGAGAAGTGACTTAGAGGTTAAGAGTGTGGACTGTTCTTGCATAGGACCATTGAGTTTAGTTCCCAGCACCCACACTGGGTGGCTAGAAACTTCCTGTAACTCCAGCTCCAGGGGCAGCCAACATCTCTGGCCTGCACACAGATACACATAAATATATACACATAAACATAATTGCCAATAATAAAAAAGTTAAATGAATTGTCAGAGGTGATTTAGCACATGTATAGAACAGGCCAAATGTTATAGTATATAATGATAGAAAAGGCTTTGGAGTCTTTGAAGAAATACATAGAAGTCATTGTTAGTCTTGAATTCACCAAGCATTAATCAATCTGTATTTAATTTAATTCAGTGGCATTCATTAAGCCTTTATCCTATAGTGTCCAATTTTTCTGTGCTTCTAAAATGAGATGTTCACCAGTACTATTTTCTCCCATCCTCAGCTGCTCATTTTAAGATGTGGCAGAGAAAAGTGGTTTTTCCCTAACTTACTTGCTGTCAACATACCACTAGAAGAAACTTATGAGGTTTCAAAGAATTTCTCCATGAAGCCAGATAAGTTTTCGAGAATGTGGTGCTTGGTTCTGACATGGACCAGTATAGCTTCACTCTTGTTTCTACACCTCCAGAATGATAGCTGACATTTTTGTTCTGTTTTGTTTTTCAGTGATTGCCATGAGCCAAACTCTAAGTTAAATATTTATCCTACTTAAAAGCCAATATCACTACTGCATGGCCCATCTGTAGAAGATAAAAGAGAAATTTAGGGAACTAACCAACATAACATATCCAGCAAAAGACAAGATTCTAACCTATACAGCCTGATGCTAGAGCCTGTGATGATCACTGTGCTTTGCTACCAACTGACTAAACTCCAGCCAGCCAAATGAAACCATGTACCCTTGGTCATAAGACATACTAGGTAAAATAATGTGCAGTGGTATAGTGTGGATTCATTGCAATTGCTGGAAAATTGATTTAAAATACTGTTTGGGGTGAGACCATCTTTAGACTTGGATATTCTTGATTCTTAGTACAAAAAAGTTATTTTCTCAATAAAACATGCTTAAAGGAGGGTAAATCAGTTACAGCATAGTGATACAAATACATTTCTCTGTAGACTACCTTAAGGAAATAGGAGTGAGTAGATTCCAGGTTGGGCAGATGGATAGGTAGCAATAGTAAGCTCATCCACAGCCTGCAGTGAGGAACCATTTAAGCTTCTTTCCCGTTTCCAATCACCATGTGTGTCCTGCGTTTTTCTTGATTTTTTTTTCAAGTGTGTTACTCATTTTAACCCATTTCTGCCTTAGCTTTTACTGGCTTTTCATAGTCAACATTCCACTAAAATGTACATGAAATTGCCAGTGTATTAATTAAGACTTTTTATTTTTGTTGTCCTTCTTATCTCATTTATACTTCATAATGTTGAGTTTCCCAATATGTGATGTGATGTCATCTTGAGTACTACTGGGTTATTAGGCCTATTGGGAGACAGCCATTGTTGAACTACCTGGACCACAATTTTGTGAGCCGTTCTGATACATCCCCTTTATATGTATTTTTCATTCTATAAGTTCTGTTCTTCTACAGAATACCAAGTAATACAGATTTTCATACCAGAAGTGGTTTTAGAACAATAGACATATTAAAGTGAATTTTTTAAAAATTATTTGGGATAGGTTTTCCAATTTGCAAACACCTACAGTTACTGAAGTCTCTCAGAAACTCAGGGAATATTGAAAGCCCATGCTGTGAACTGTTTTTACAAACTTACAGGGACAAATGCATTTGATTATCCTGATTGACCAGTTGTGAGAGGCAAGAGATTTGATGAGTCTGTATATAAAACTTTGGAAAATTTGTAGAAAAATAAGAAAAGTTATGATGCTTGTTGGTTCCTGTAAGTATCTCTGAATAAATTGACAAAGGAAAAGAATGCACTGCTTGATAAAATTAATCAACTTCTAGCATCTCAGAGTACAATGAAAAGCAACAGTGTACTCAGTGATAAAGTTGGCCAGCTCCAGATATGCATAAACAATCTAAAGTCTAAGTGCACCCTGCAAGAGGATCTTCCCTCCAGCAATCACAGTTCAAATTGTGGACAATCAAACCAAAGCCCTCATTTAACGTTGGCCAAATTACAAACAAAATTGGAGTCCCAGCCTCAGAGAGTGTCTGTGGTTAAAGTAAGAGAGCATTAATTAGTAAAGAATTGGATCTGTAACTTGGTGTGGAGATCTGTGGTAGGACCCTGTTGAGGCCCAGAACTTTGAACCCTCAGATTCCCGTGGGTTTACTTCACCTGAGGGAATAGTCTCTCTACCCTCAGCAGAAAATGTACTCTTACCCCTCAAAAATTGCCTTTTTTGCCTTTGAGGAAATAATAATGGGTATTTAAGGAAGGTAGTTTCAAATACCAACTATGGCCATGTGACCAGTTGCAGAAATGAAGATTACTTTTTCTGTCATATTTTGTTAAGAATGTGTTTGTACAGATATTTGTGTTTTCTTTCCTCAATTTCTTTATCATGTAATGTAACATCAATTAAGAGAATATCTGTAGTTGCCAAATTTAAGTTTTGAGATACCAAAAGAATGTCCCTTGAGGGACATTGCCATTTATTCTAAAATTAATCATGAATTTGAGGTAGTACAAGATACAGTTTTATCATGTTAGATGTAATTATGATCTGATTAATTATGTAATGCATTTGCAATTATACATGGGACAGTTATATCATGTTAGGTATAATTATGTCCTGGTTATTATTTTCATTTGGAAATTAAGCATAGCATAAGATATGATTGTATGTGAAGTTGATAAGGGGTGGACTTCAGATAGCTCTTCTTGGTTGTCAGCTTGACTACATTTGGAATTTACTGAAGCCAAACTGCTGGGTACACCTGTGAGGATTTTTTTTTCTTAATTAAATCATTTCAAATATAAAAACTTATTTTCTTTTAATCTGGATCTTTTAAGGTGAGAAGATCCACATCTAGTCAGGGCCATACCTTCTAGTGGCATTCAATATAAGAATGGAAGAAGGAAGCTTTTGCTATTGTTCCCTTGCTCTTGCTAGTAAGTCCATGACTTCGCTAGGGTTAGAGCTGACTTTGGATTCCGGGATGTTATGAAGAACAGCTGAGACATCCATCCTGATGGAATAAAACAACTGCCTGAGTCTAGGGCTTTCCATTGGTAGACAGCCATTGTTCGCTCTGGACCACAGCCTGGAAACGACTCTGTTAAATTCCCTTTCTCTGCATATGTGTAGATTCAGTCTATAAGGTCTGTTCTCTAGAGAACCTTGATTAATGCACATAATTCAAGAGTTCTCCTTTCTTTCTCTTACAGTATTTTTAGGTCATTTTTCCTCTATAGCTGGCTCTTGTTTATTAGTCTTTTTTGTCCTCTATACTAAAAATAATCTCTGTATCCAGTTTTTACTCACTTTTCTGTGTCCCTACTTACCTGTTTTGCTACTTCATGTATTTTAATAACTTTGTGTTTTCCACTTTGTATGTCATCTCACTGCTTGGGGGATTTTCCTCAGGTACCTACATAACCTGATATTTGAAACCAAAACTCACCATTCTTCTCCCTCAATTTGCATTTTCTTTTGAAATAAACATCATTGCCTAATTGTTGTACCCTAAAATAGAATCATTGCCTTTTGTATTCTCATCCCAGCCTTGAAGTTACCATGTCTTCCTTTTCTGCCTTCCATTCTCCTGGTCTTGAACCTTTTGATCTTGCTCATATTCTTCTTGAGGTTTGTTTTTGTTGTTGCATAGTTTTTGTTTTATATTTCTACCATAACTTTATAGCCTTCCACATAGGTCTACATCATGTAAGCTCAGGTCACTATGATTTTCTTCAGTTGCCTTCCAGAATATCCAACTTACATAACACTTCGAAAATGATCTTCAGTCTCCATTTTCATGGTATCTCATTTTTACTCAGCCACCAGCAGATAATTCTCACCAGTGTTCCATAACTTTGTTTTCCATTCAAGCCTCAGCTTTCATTACTCTCAAGCATGTTTACCTTGGTGGATCACATTCAAACCTCCTACAGCTTTCTAGTGTTATCTTACAAGCCTTTGACTCTGTGCCTTTCTCTCATTGTTGTTGTTGTTATTATTATTATTTGCTTAGATTACTCTTTGGCTGTACCTTCTGTTCAAATTTGCTCCCTTCATGTCTTTTGAGACAGCAACTCCTGATTGAGTTCACCTCACAATAGCATCTTCCCCTGCCTGAGCACATAACTTTCAAGTTTGTACTGTGATCCATGCACTCACTAATACCTTGCTCTGCAGTTATTTTCTAGCAGTCTGTATAATAGTTTCACATCTATTATTTCCAAGATTAAACTGTAAGCTCCCTGAGGGCAGGGATGATAACTGTAACATTTGTATCACTGCACTCTCTTTAGTGCCTAGTACAGTGCTGAGCACATAGTAGGTGTTTAATAAATGCTTGTTAAATTATTGTGTGGATTTTTTGTAATGTTTAGATTGTTTTAAGGGCTTTCAGTGATGTGACCTGTTTGGTGCACTCAAAAACTACATAACTGTCTCCATAAAATACTATATAGTACATCAAGATTTGTCTGTATCACGGGATTAAAAAAAATCTAGGACAGTCTATGTAAAATTTTAAAGTTATAAACTATTTTCTTGGAGAAACTTATTGATGATTTGGGGGTTGAGGGGGACGAGCCGTATGTCATGCCACAAGGCTAGAATCCTACGTGGGATGTGAAGATAGGAAGATCAAGAGTTCAGGGTCTACCCTTGCTACTTGAGTGTGGGTCTGTGTCTCGTCCCACCACTGGGGATCTGGGCAGATGAATTGTGAAGCATTAGACCACTTTTACTCTGTGCCACGGCTGTTGGGTGCAGAGCTCGAGAAAAGAGCTGATATACCCTGATCCACAGCTCAGGAAGTAGGAAAACGCAGCCTAGGATGTGAAAGGCCAAAGCTGTGGTTCCTAAACTCCTGGGTGCCCAGTCACCACTGGAAACCACAGAGTTGGGAACGGAGGGTCGGGGGCTCCTAAACTCCTGGACATCCAGAAGGCACTGGGTCACAGGGAGTTGGGAATGGAGTGGGGGGAGGGGGCACAAGCACTAGGGGTTCTCAGACCCCAGGACTTCTAGACACTGCTGAAAGTTGCATAAGAGCCAGAGCCGAGAATGGAAGAGGATCACAGGCTGGAGGTAGGGGAGGGGCTCCGGCTAAGTCCTTAGCTTAGTGGCAGTTCTCTAGGAGGTGGAGGGGGAGGCTGCCTTCTTCGGGAGATTTAGGCAGCAGGGCTATATAGGTGAAGGCCTTCTCCATGCTCCCTATGGCTGTTATTGATGAAAGATAGTCCTTGGTTCCAAACTGTTGATTGACTGTTCATTGTGGAAAATGAGTCCATACTGACTCCTCAGGGTGGGCCAGAGATGAAATACTTTTTACAGAAAAGAATGTCTGGGAAGGGAAGCTTATTGGCTAAACCCTCTAGATACCTCATTAGCATGGAGAACTCTGTTCTGGGCTACATTACCACAGGTCACATTTTCCATGTGGGACGTGTGGCACAGGTTCCAGGCCAGGAATCTGGTAGGGAGCAGGAGCCACCTGAGTAGTCTCAGGTGGGTACCTGGGTGCCAGGACTCTGAACCAGCTCATCCTTATCAAATTTCCCACACATAAGGAGTTTCATACCATCCTAGACTTGTGAGACCTTGTTTCCAAAAGTAAAGAGAAAAGAAAATAGGAAATACACACAAATACCTATTCTGATAAAACGACTGTAAAATGAGCTAGAAAATGGGTTTTGCATCTGATGTTTGCTTAGTAGTTTAGAAGTTTAATTATGTCTAGAGACATTTGGGAATTATACCATTGGTGAACATCTGGAATGTGTCTAGCATCTACTGGATAGAGTTTAAGGATGCTACTACCAAAGAGAGGGGAAAAGGGGGGAGGGGAGGATGCTACTAAGGATCCTTGAGGGTATCCTTTACAACAAGGCCAAGCTTTAACACATTGGTTCTAAACCTATGAGTCAAAACCATAACAAAATTATAGTTCAACAAAATATGGTTGGGAATCACAACATGAACTATGTTGAGTGGTTGCCACATTAGGAAGAATTGAGAAACACTGCTTTAATAGAGTCATAGATGTCTGTATATATTCTGTGGTGTGATTTTAAAAAGCCTTAATCTTTGAGATTCATAGTAACAATGTTATTAGAGTTTTTGTTAGTGCTTTCTCTTTACTCGGCACATAGTAATCCATGAGGCAGTGGCATTTGAATATGTACAATGCTTAATGATCAAATTAGGATGACCGGCATTTCTGTCGTCACACTTTTGTGTGTGCTTAGGACATTTTATTCTCACTACTATTTTTAAACATGGACTGAATTTTTGTTGATTATAGTTATCCTCCTGTACATTTGGTGGCCAGCACTTCAAAAAATAGCCTATGTAAATGCATTTGTGCCTGTTATGATGATGTTTTACAGTTGTTTTCAACATCAGATCTGCCACCATCTACTGAGTGGCAGGCTAAGGATACAAGTCAAGTCTGGCTTTCATATGTTGACGCATTACCATCAAAGATAAAATACTGGGGATAGCTCTTAAGCAAAGGAAAGGAGACTGAAGTCTAATCAAATGTTTAGCTTTGGGAACATGGCAATGAACACACTCTTTGGTGGCCACTAGACAAAGTTAACTACCATCTGTCCAAGAAAACCATGAATGAGAATATTCTGTTTGCAAGCAGAATTCAGTCCTAAAGTTTTATATATTTTTCTAGTTCTACTTAGAAGAAATGGGACTCTAAGGAAATGTGATTTCCTAAATTCAGTCACTAAACCAGCATTTGAGAACACTATAGTCTCCATTTGCAGTTCAGTAGTGCATCGTTCAAAAAGTTTAGAAAGAATCAACTCGAGAGTTAGCAACTCAGCAGATGGGTAACTCACCAAAGACATTTATTTCTCTGACGTGTTGAAGTTGTCAAAGTCTAAAGAATGGGTGCTGTATTGTTTAGCTTGTCAACTCCTTCTGACATTGAAGAGCTGGGGAAGCTAAGTGACTTACACTGGATCACCCAGTAAGTATACTGTGTGTTTTAATCCATACTCTCCCACAGGATAAATCTATAACTCCAACTAAGTATATCATTTTAAGAATTATTCTTTTTACCAGCTTGTATATCCAAACCAGCATAATGGCTATCATATCTTAAGCTAATTTCTTAAATAAGTGACCTGAGAAATTTTGCAGTAAGCCAAGCTGTTTTGAAATCGCTTTGTGTCTGGTCTCTAGTCTTTAAAATAGCACTAAGACCAGAGTTTCTGTGGCCATAATGCGGTCCCATGAGAGATGTTTCACAGCTGTAAATGACATTTAAATCCCAATACTTGATGGTTTTCCTACCTTGGTAAAAGGAAGCAAAACCCACGTTCTTGGAAGGTAAAACAGGAAATTAGTCTTGGTGGCCAGGAGCAAAAGGTTCTGTAGCAAAACTAAATTTAGACAATAAGCACAGAGCAAGGTGTGTGGGGGGGGAACCCACAGTTTGAGCTAATCCAGAGCAAAATCAATCCTCGCCTAGGGCTTTAGAAGCACCTGGCCCCTCCTGGTAGGAATTGAGGAATGTGGCCTCTCCAGAAGTCCTGAGAGCCGTCAGATGCTTTTCTGCAAAGTGGGAGGAGGTTTCCTGTATGCCACCTCAGATGAATAGGTTGCAAGCAGGATTTCCAACTGTACCCAGATGCTTCCACCTAGGAAAAGGACTTTCTCAATATTCACTGCTTCACTGATTTGGACTTGCTACCCTCTTGGGACCACAATCCTAGTTTTTCTTGCCATCATTAGTGGGTCATAACTGCACGTCTGCTCCTGCCACCATTGGTATCACACTATCCGTCAGTTATCAGTTTGCTTTTCCAAGCATACGTGCACAGGTGAGGGGAGTGCAAATAACTGGAAAATAATATCAGGTGCTCTAAATTCAAGAGTGCTCTCTTCCTCTTCCACCTATACTTATGGTACCCATGCTATTTCTTTGTGAATGCAGAACAGAGTTGTTTATTTTGGCTTGCCTGTAATAGGTCACCATTTACTGTAGCAGTTACCTCCATCCACACTAGATCCATTTTCCAGCAACTGATGAACATCTCTTAGTGGTTCTTCACCCTCTATAGCAGCATTGGAGGCAAAGCCATGGTAGGAAGGTATCAGTTCCCACCTGAAGAGTACCAATGACAGGAAAGGAAGCAGAACTGCTAGGGTGGGATTGTGGGGCATGCCTGGTCACTTTGAGGGAAACAGTTAACTGGATGAAGTTTGAGGAGTTGGATGAACCCAGACAGTAGATAGGAAGGGACGGGCACTTCCTATCTTAAACTTGTGTCACTGCTTGGCATTGTGGTGCACGCGTATGTTAATACCAGCACTGTGGAGGGAGAGGCAAGAAGAAGTCTGAGTTCCAGCCAGGGCTACATAGTGAGACCCTATTTTAAAACAAAATGAAGCAACTTATGGTGTCAAAGGAATTTTTTTTCAAACCCCACTCACTCCCATCCCACACACACACACGCACACATCTCATCACACCCTAATTTTTAGAAATGTAACTCCAAATTGCCTATGATTTTGACTAAGTAAATCTCCCTGTGCCTCTCAACTATAAATGAAGGTGATAAAGCACCTTCTCGGGGCTTGTAGGGGATTATGTAAACATACTTGATTTAGAAGTATATCCATACATTCCTTGTGATTGACAGGTATCCCTTCATGAACCATACTTACTTTTTCTAAGTTCCTGATCCTGCACACTCTTAGAAGATAACAGGGCAAGAAATGTCAGCTCTTGAAGCTAAGAGAGAATAACTATTTTAAGAATTATTTGGTATTTGAGCAAGATATTACCCATAGTCTTGGGCATTTAAATAGTTGGTAGCACCATTTAGGTCAGTGTAAGAGGTATGGACTTACTGAAGGAAGTATATCGCTAGAAGCAAACTTTGAGAGTGTAAAGATTAAACTATTGCTAGTTGCCCTGTTTGCCGATTGTGGTTCAAAATATTGTCTCTGCTTTAGCCACTGCTTGCTGCCATGCATCTCTGCCATGACAGACTCTTATCCCTCGGGCACTGTAAACCCAAATAAACCCTTCTAAGTTGCCTTGGTGTGTTAAATTTCTATTGCTGCAATAAAACACCATGACTAAAAGCAACCTGGGGATGAAAGGGTTTGTTTCAGCTTACAAGTCTAGGTCATACTCCATCACTGAAGGAAGACATGGCAGGAACTCAAGACAGGAACTTGGAGGCAGGAGCTGATGCAGAAACCACAAAGCAGTGCTGTTTACTGCCTTTCTCCTATAGCTTGCTCAGCCTGCGTTCTTATATAACTCGAGACCACTTCCCCAGGGGCACCACTCATGGGCCCTCCCACATTTATCACTAATTAAGAAAA